AGACTGCCCCCCCTTTTTCCTGTCCCCAGATCTTCCTTTATGGAACCCCGGGGGGAACCGGGCACAAGCAGAAAAAAGGGGCGGGGGGGGCTGGCAACCCCCCTTGGAATTTGGAGAGTGACTGGAAGTGGTCTCACAGAGTGGCTGCCATTGCAGAGGTGGCAGTTGCGGGATCCCCATCAATCAGAAGGGAAATGGGTGAGGCTGCTCCCTACCCTGGCACTTTTCAAACCCCAACTGACCTCTCTGCTTTGTTTCTCGGTATTCTTCTCGAGAAAATTCTGGGCTGCAGCCCAAAATCCATGCAGGCTCTCTACAACGGAGTGGGCTTTGGTTGATGCCCAGTGAAACTGACCTCGCACCAGCTCAACCTCCCATCTGTTGATTGAGGAGACTCCGCCACTCCACCGTGCTTTCTGGAAAGTCTCAGAGAACAAATATAATATCTGGAGGGTGGTGGGCTTTCACTGAGACCTGTTGGTTATGAACTTTCCATTTAAATTACCTTGCATACAGGTATGGTCTCTGATGTTCATATTCTGACGCTCTTACTTTGACCTTCATTGCTTTTCTGCCAGGCATCTTACATTTTAGATTCCACATTTTATTGAGTTTTGAAAGCCTAGAGCAAGGTTTTTCAACCTTGGCTGCTTAAAGATGTGTGGACTTCAACTCCCAGAATTCCCCAGCCAGCATGGCTGGCTGGGGAATTCTGGGAGTTGAAGTCCACACATCTTCAAGCGGCCAAGGTTGAGAAATACTGGCCTAGAGTCAAAAAGGCTGTTTGCAAAATCGATTTTATTCTGTTTTCTCATTCCCTGCTTTCTAACTTTAGCTGGGTGTTTCATTTGTTTAGAGAAACGATCTAAAGACTATTTTGCTACTGGGAGAAGACAATGGAGCAACACATAAATAATAAAGAGGGAGCCTTTGTTTTCTTGAAGAGCTGAACGGATTCAAAATAATCATGGAAAAAAAAAAGAGAGAGAAAGAAAAGCAATGAGTAACAGGCCATGGGAACTGTTGTTAGAGAAGTTGGTGAGAAAAAAAAACACAACACTCTTTTTAGAGAATTTCCTTGTACGGAGGACAGGCATTTTCTCAAATAGCAGCTATAGTTTTAGTGCTGGAATCCAGCACCTTTCCTCATTTTTTTTCTTAACAATGATACCAAGATTGGCATCAGACTGGTTTTCCTAAGGTGGGGACAAGATGGTTCCTGTGATCAGAGCAGTCTAGTGGGTTTGCCAAAGTGGGCTGCTGCCAACATAAGAAGGCACAATACACAGCAGAAAATTAAAAAAAGAGGGAGGGAGGGCAAAGATTGATAGCAGCAGGGTTGAGAAACCCTGCAATCATTGCACACTGTGGATCCCATCCAGACATGTCTGCATCAGCCAAGGATGTTCCCCAGGTGGCTGTAGAAACCATCATGCTGTGCCATATTCTAGCAATTAAATTTCATGGGCCCAAGGAGGGGAAAAAAAAAAAAAGCAAAGAAAAAATTTAGTATTGGTTACAACAGGGTTCCTCAACCTTGGCAACTTTAAGACGGGTGGACTTCAACTCCTTGCTGGCTGGGGAATTCTGAGAGTTGAAGTCCATCCGTCTTAAACTTGCCAAGGTTGAGGAACCCTGGGTTACAATATTATTTGGGAGGCAGTATTTTCTTTGCATGTGGGTTGAAATAAGATACTGGTGAAAATCAGTGCCCCCGTAGCCATTTTAGGACCCCGAGACAGCATGGGGTGAAGCACAGATGAAAGGGCGGAGCAGGTCAGCCTCAAAACAAAGGAACAGTTTTCAAATGCCAGGAAAGAAAGCGATCACCCAAACCCCAGGAGAAATCAACTTTTGCAGATCACCACTCTCATTAGCTTCTCCCTTCCATTCTAATTTGCTGTTTGGCTTCTCTTGCCAAGATGCAACCTCCTGATGGTACAAAGTCCTAAACTGCATGTTATAATGTCACCAGGGACAATGGAAGGCACCAGTCCAGTGGAAACCTCCCAAAAGCCGGTGGAAACTGGAGCTGGACCTGCAGGAAAGGTTTTTTAGAACCAGGTAGATCCTATGGTCCATTAGCTTGGCAACTTGCCATGAGGGGCATTCATATAGGCTACTAGAGGTGCCGTACAAATTAATTTACAGTCAGGGCTCTGCGGATTATAGGCTTTAACTCTCCCCATTCAGGCAATCTGAATTGTCCACCAACCTCTCCTCCCCACCTATATTTTGTTTCTGATCCAAGTCTCCCAATTCCTCTAATTTCTACATAGCTTCTTGCTATTTATATTTTGCAAATCTGGTTTTCCTGATAAGTCAGGGACAGGCTGCTAGAAATATTATTGATCTCCCTCTTTGTTCCCTCAACTTGGCATAAGGACTAGACGTTTTTAGGATGGGTTGTGATTGAAAATTCCCACCCAGTGCTCATGTTCTGAGAAGTTCCCACCCCAACTTCTCAGAAAACTGGTCCCTATATGCCTGTGTTTTCCTTCCTACAGAACCCCTAGTCAGGGACAATTATGGTTGCCTTCTTACATAGGCCTGATTATTTTTGTAGCTCAGGTCTTGGAAACATGTACGAGAGCTACAAATCCATAACTCCTACATTCTAAATGCTTTTGTAGGGGAAGAAGCCCAGATATATCGGTGTAACGCTGCCCAATGGGCACTTCCTAAAGGGCCATTCAACACTTGCAAGAGGATTCTGCTGGCAATCCAACAAAAAAATTCAACTCTGAAACTTTAGTTCCTTAGCCAGTCTTTTCCTTATTGATTTGGATCTTTTCAAATCAGACGCCATTATTAGTCTAATTCTCTAAGTCACGATGTCCTGAATGAATTCCCTCCTGTGCAACTGCAAAATTTCAGCAGGAAACTTCCTGCATCATGAAAAGGTCCTTCAGAATCCACACTTTGCAGAACACAAAGTAGAAGAAGATGAAGCAAACAACATCGACCCCATCAATGGCTAAGCTGTTGTTTCACAAAAGAAACTAGCTACTGAAATGGTTTCACCATGCAAATACTTCTTAAGGTGGGACTGACAGATGGTTCCTTCTCTCTCCACTTCGCTGACAGCTCCAGAGTCTTCCATCTCTGTTACAAAGCAGCCTCAAATATCAGTGCCAATATCTTATGATAGCGATCAAATATCTTATTTTGGTCTTTGCCTGGTAAAAAAACTGCAATCATTTAGCCAGGGCCCTTTTCTACTTCTGGTGTCTGAGAATTTTCAAGGGCATACAGATATGGGATCAGATATGTGCCTGGTCTGGAGACCTTTCTTATTATTTTTGTCCAACTCTGCATTTCAAGTAATGTCTGGTCATAAGGTCTCTCACTGTTTCTTCTGGGTCTCTGAACATGGGCACTGGGTGGGAATTTATATGGTGGAACATCTAACCAGCTAAGCCTGTGAGAGCCTATCATGACACAAATAAAGGCACTTACCAAAGAGGGCTTGATCTATGGCTGCAGGAGGGTCTGCAGAATAAGGTCAAAAAAGTCAAGATGGCAAAGCTGGGCTTCAATCAGACCACTGCAGCTGCCATTTTTACTTTTTTGATCACTGTGGACACCCTTGCATGGCCCCTTAAAAGTAAAGTGTGATTTTAGTTTTTAGTTTCAATTTTAGGAAGCATCTTTCAGTTAGAGATGTTAAAAGTTTTCTACTAAAAGCCTGAAATGGCTGTCCCAGAACTCTGATTCCAAACAGCTCTGAGTAAAAGGAAAACACTGTTCATTAAAGTGGTTATCATTTGAAAGGGGAAATAGTCCAAGCAACTCTACAGGAATTGAAGCTGAGACACTGCAGAAGTTGCATCGATGTCAAAAAAGTTCAGCGTTCCTGATAAATGCATCCGACTGCATTCTCCTTCCAGTTCTATCCGTGTGGCACCCAACACCACAGCTATTAGGTGCTCTCTGTATGCACACAAGATTGTCATAATTTAATCTGGAAATGTATACCCTGACCAACCATACATTCCCTATATTCCCCCCAATGAACAGAACATCAAGCAACACTTTGTGGAATTTTTGGTGATCATTATTGTAGCCATGGAAATAATAAAGTTGAATATCGGCCATTAATATCTAGCAACTCTTAATATAAACCTACTCTACTAATGCTTAACTGCCATTAAAATAACCTTATTACCCATAGGTAGTAATTTTGAAGTGGATAAAAATAAAATAATATCCTTCTATGCATGTCTTTTTGGAATAGCATCTTATCTTCATTCATTCTTTTCAGGACTTTCCAGAATTAAGACTATTAGATAAGGGGCAGAGGTTAGGAAAAACAACCTTCAACCTTCAGAATTTTTCCAGTTATTGTAGATAGAACATTCTAAAAATGAACATCCCTAAACTGATGAGGAGATATCAGTCCTAATGACTGTGTTTCTTATGCTGTGGGTATTTGGTATTAAAAAAAGATTGGAAAATCGCAATGATAAAATTAGACACTTTCTCCGTAACAGAAATGAACGATGTGGAGAAAGGGAGAAGACACCAAGTGCTTGGTCTTTTAAATTTCAGTTCCCTCAATATCGTCCAGCGATGACCAAAAGGGAAAAAAAGAAAAGAAAAAAGAAAAGAAAAGAAAAGAAATTATACCACTGAATATATTTACAGTTCAGCATGAAGAATTGCAACAATATTGGAGAAGTATGGAGTGACAGGAGACAAGTGAAGTTCTAATTTGGTTTATATATCTTTGGTCAATCCATGATACAGATTTCACAATTATCATCCTATGGCAACAAAGAGGGACAGTGAAAGGAAGAGGTTGTGAACTTCAAACCTTTGAAGGGAACAGTAAGTAGCTGCATCAAGATTGGAATCCAGTTTCAGGACATAAGAAGATGCCTTAGGAAGAACAGTCATGAACAGAAACCATACAAGGAGGTGGCCAAAGCAATGAGATTTTCATGAAACAAGGAAAGAGGCATTCCAGTGACGACTTCTGAAGAGTCCGTTGCAAGGCAAATTATTTAAATCCAACCCAGTCATGCAGGATCACCTGGGGACAGAACCCCTGTCAAAATACCGAAAAGAGGTGTAGATGAAGGAGAAGGAGCTGTCAGGGAGACAAGAATACCCAAACATGTATAATAAATAGAATGAAAGGCAAAAAACAGAAGGTGGGATTGGATCTGGACAATCCAGGATGAGCCCCATGGAGACAGGAAATGAGACAGGTATATCAGTTACTAGCATTCGAAATATCACCCCGTTTAGAAGAACTTCCTTCTGGAGACCAGAAGTATATGCAACCATGTATATACTCACCCAGTACACAGACAGGCTGGATTTTAGAGCTGGAGAGTTTTGTCTCGTTGTTGTAGGCCTCACATTTGTAGCTCCCATTGTGGACAGAAGATAAATTAAAAATCTGGAAGGTCTTCCCTGGATATGTAGAACTCTTGAAATACCATGTATAGTTTGCAGCTGGGTTGGAGTCAGCTTGGCAGGAGAGCGTGAGATTGGAGCTTTCTGCATAAAACTGCACACTGGGGCTGATTACAGGAGCATCAGGCCCATCTGGAGCAAATACAGGAGAGTTACATGTTGGGGAAGGCCAGTGTACTTGCGTGTGGGGGTATTCAGATGCCAAGTTCAGTCAAAAGCCTCAAGAGCTGGAATCACGCACGCCCGGGCCTTTGGTTTGGGGATGCAACGTTGATCTCGGCATACATGTGGTATGTAGGGAGGAGTTGCCTTCAGAAATTGAGATCGCCCAAGGGCTGTTTAGTTGGGCAGCCCACACACACCTTCCAGTAGCCTTAGAGGATGTCCAATTATCTATTTAACTCAGTTTCATGCCTACTGAGAGCTCAGAACACCACATTCTTTTCCAGCAAAAGGAGGAAAGGTGGAAGTGGTTTAACTTGGCCCTTCTTTCAATTCATCTTTGGTGTGAGCTGGCTTCCAGAGTTTAAAATTCTCAGGAAGCCCAGTGACCATGACCTGGGGTACACTGGCCACACAGCGGAGCAAAAACAGTGGACCTAAAATGGAAAGCTAAGCCAACTAGCTAGAGTGGGGTCCAATCCATGTTTTCAGTTATGCTAGTTTCAGCAGCCTGATGTTACTTTCTCAAGTTGCAGGTGGCGTGTAAGCAAAACCAATCAGAAAATGTTAAACTCTGTTTCAGGAATAATAAGCACAGCTGGGGCCTGGAAGGAATTGAAGAGGGAAGCTGTGCTTTCAACTTGCAGAAGAAGTAAATACTTCTTCTGGTTCTTTGGGTGTGGTCTGTAACAAGCAGTTGGAGAAGGGGATGGTGTAAAACCAGTTTCCCCACCCTTGGCGACTTGAAGATGTGTGGACTTCACCTCCCAGAATTCCCCAGCTAGCCATACCGGCTGGGGGGTTCTGGGGGGTTAAGTCCACAAACCTTCAAGGCGCCAAGGGTGAGGAAACAGGTTTTTCCACATCCCCTTCCCCAAC